AATTAACAAACGGAGACGTAACAGTACTTTAGATGTAAAAATAAGTTGAAATGAAAAAATTGAAGTAGAGGAAAGTCTAATTGCTTGGATGTATTTTCTGAAATATGATATCCATGCACAAGAATAACAATCAAGAACTGACACAATACAAAATATATACCAGAAACTATAATTGAAGCTAATGATTACTATGTTTAAAATGCAGGGTTACAAAAAATAAAGGTGAGGAGTAATATGTCTAAAACATGAACATGCAAATTAAAGTTAAGAGTTCAAAGTGTAAAATTGTATATAATCAAAAACTTTTTGCATTTGATTGTTTGTTATTAATTAAGCAAAAAGCTATACAATAGACTATCTATGCTCTGCTCACAGTTGGTATCAAAACCCAAAAGTTTAGCGTTTGAGTCATGAGACTTACTTCTGAGTTACCGTGGGCTTTAAATGTTTAAAGTATGACCTTGTGTAACTGAAGTTGCCAAATTAACGGCGGCAAAATGTAGTTTTATTGTATAGTATTATTTTTCAATAGCTTTTTTAAAAGCTGTGCATAGTTCATAATTGTTTACCCAAGAATATTTTCCATGTAATGGTCAAATGCGCTGTTTTCATTGTTAGAGTGACTTCCCATGTTTATAAACCTCTTTTGGCTAACCAAATGACCAAGTATCATGAGCGACAAATGCATGTGAGAAAGTTGATGCTATTGAATTGTGGTTGATTCCCTCAGTCTCAGATTTTCCCTTCAAATTTGAGATATAGCTCTCTCTCTCCACGTGCTCAGAAGCGTGTTCAGATTTTCTTTTATGAGCAGTCTCGTTATTGAAGTGAAAATGTCGTTTTTTGTTCAATAAGTATACTGTATATTTTTCTATCGTTAAACTTGAATCTAGTCTTTTTCCTCAATTCTTTGAGGTAAGAATTCACTTTCAAAACTCCGAATACACAATACACACACGTATATATGTATATAGTCTGCTGAATCAAATTACAGTGGACACTACTCTTACAGTGGTGTAGGAAGGAGTTACAAAGTAGGGGTGTTTAGCTAGACATGCAGATTTTACAAAGAGAGATTGAAACTATAGGGAGCTGCCAAAGGCAGCTCAATCTAGCGGAGTCTGAGAGCATGCCCCCCCCCCCAGAAAATTAATGTAACAATATAATTTGCAATTGTTATGTAAGTCAAATATGTAAAAATGTAGTGATACAGCACCCTCGGTTCCGACGCCTCTGTCTTAGAATACCCCATACTTCCCTGTTCGCTCCAGTTTGATCTAAGAATATCGCAATGATTAGGTAAAAATGGTGGCCCCAGTACTTCGAGATCTGACTGAACAATATTTGAATTCCAAACCAAAAGTTACCAGAAAACCTAAGCAGTATATAAGCGCTGGGATTTTGAACACGAATTACCTATTAACAAAGACACTATTTGTCTAATTATTATTTCACTACTCTTAAAACTATGACATATTACTGCATAAAAGTACTATAATTGTTTAAATTTGTAACTTTCTTATTCAACGTGTTTGTATTTCCCAGAAATCTTCAATTATTCCTTATAGAGGGCCATATGTTTAATAAGCTGACAACATTCAGAACTTTGTTTGATGCTTAAAGTTATATAAAAAAGTATGCGCCATTTTAACCACGTGAGTGGGTTTAGTCAGTATTTATTTTAGTTTAAACTTGGTTTATCTGAGGTAATTTACCTGCAGTTTTTGTAGAAATATTTAAGGTATTTTCACTTACTTGGCTTATTTGTATTTGGATTGTTCAGATTAAGAATTAAAAAGTGTAACTATATTAAAATATAGTCCTATATACTAAAAATATCCAGTAATTCGTAATTAATCAACTTGAATAGTTAATAATAATATTACAATCTTGTAGTTGTACTACTAATAGTAATAACTAAATTAGTATTAGTATTGACATTAGATTTGAAGTTTTGCCTGTTTATTTAGGACTAGAAATTAGTAGAATATGTTCACTAGGTACTAAAGTACAAGGCATTATACTAGTGTGTTGACAGTTTAGTTGTTGGTACCAAGAAACATTATCTTTTGTTTTCAGTGTATGTAGAAGCAAATGTTGTTGAAAATTATATTTATTACTGAACTTCAGAAGTCTAGGAATAGAAATAGAAGTGTTGTCATCTTGGAAGTGCTCACTCAGTCCAGGTGATGAAATGAATTATTGGCCAGGTTGCAAGGTATAAAGTTCATTTAAAGATTGTCAGGGATGAGCTGGTTGGATGTGTGTGATAGTTTTCAGGGTAAGGCAAATTGTATGCTAAGAGATTGGCTGCACTTAAGCCTCAGTTAAGGCTAAGCTGTTTAGATATCATGATATTTGGGGAATGTCCTGTACTTCAGCACTTGGTAAGCAGAGTTTAGTTCTAGTTTTTATGTACTGTTCTCTACAAACAACTGTATCAGTATGCTTACTGAGTGAATCCTATTAATTCTGAAACATAACTGATTTTGGCACCTATCACACTCATTAAACTCTACCCTACTTATCACCGAACTGTAACCTTATTTAACTTATGCTGATGCTAGTTTTGATTCTATGCAAGATTTATAAAGCTTTAGAATACATTCTATAACCTAGTAACCCACCTAAGCCACCTTATAAAAAAAAGTAAACAAACAACTAAAAGGAAAAAATTACATATCAATTGATCCCGCTAATGAACACGTAGCAGACTAAACCTTCTCAACTTTACATGGAGAATAAAATCCCTACATTACTAGCTTCCTCACTGGCAAAACAAATTGAACCAGTCATAAAATGTTACTGTTATTGTAAAATAGCCATAAAAGTAATATTTGGAAGTTAACTAAAGGGAAGGTTTAATTATGAAAGCTGAGATTTTATTCAAACACCAAGCTTTTGATAGACAAAGTGAAGAAGCCAGTAATGTATGCATTTTATTCTCCATGTAAAGTCGGGACAGCTAAATCTACTATGTGATCATTAGTCTATCTTGTTTGGTTCCATTTTTTTTTCCAGTTCAATAGCCAGCCCTAAATAGTTTTTTTATTTAGTGATAATTTGTTTTCCTAAAAAGTTGTAAATAATTAAATGATAAAGGCTGGCTTTGATTTTTTTTTAAATAGTGGATTGGACAACCTAGATGGACCAACAGGATCCTTAAGTGTTACGTAAGGACAGTAAAAGCAGTGATTTGCTAACCGAAACCAAAGTCTAATTGAATGACTTACTACAAAGACTTTTAGTATAAATTTGAAATATAGCTTATTTTCAACTTTCATATAAGTGTAACTAATTAGTTTCTCCACATCTTCAAAAGTCCATGAAATTAGTGCCGGATGTCAAAAACTTCCCTTCACTTGTATCCATAGAAACTGGGTTTCGATACCCATGGTGGGCAAAGCACAGATAGCCCATTAATTAAAAACAAACACTTGTATCTAACATAGTTTAAATATTTTATCATTGCATCCTACCCATAAGATATCATGAATTGTAACAGCATTATATATTTTGGCTTGTGTTTTAAACATTTCACCACGTGCATACATTCTCATTATCAGTCAAAGGCTCAAATCTGTTTGATACAATTATCTGTTTTTTGCTAATGATGCTTTATCAGCTTTACATTTCTGTCAATTGTCAATTGTAGTAAACTTGTCATTGTACACTTTTTCTTTTCTAAGTAATTGCCTTTTTATCTTTTCGGCTTTTCATATTTGTTTATGTTACTCCACGTGTGAATTGATAAAAATAAAAAATATCATGGTTTACATTAATGCTGTTACAAATAAAAATCGTTTCTCATGTATATAAATAGTTCAAAGCTTTTTCTAATTTTAATTGACATAATCCTAGAGCTAGCTGTCAAACTTCACTTTGCTCTTACTTTTCATGAAATCAATGTAATAATATTGTTACATTAATTTAGATAAATTAGGCTATAATCTTTATCATAGTCAAATACTAGTCAAAATGGATGTTATCATTTATTAGTTTTTGATTACATCAACTATTCAAGTAATCAAGATATTGCTATTATGATTTTTCATTATTATCATCATCAATTTAAGGTTCATCTTAATCGAATAATTAGTGTTTCTGATCGTGTATTTGCAAACCTTTGCTAGCTGGATTGTATTAGAAGGTCTACACTGGAAAAGTGCTACATCACGATCACTTTTAGAATGACTTAGTAGATGTTGATGTAGTGATAACCAGACTATGGCTGGGCCTCTAGAGTTGAAACTAAGTGCTCGGGATGTACAGCTCCTCAGATTTTCTTAACACATTTATTCAATTGATTGGAAAAGGACAAGTTCCCTCATTCTCTCCAGTCTTTTAGTTACTCCACCATCGTATCTCAGTTACATCATACTCGTTTCTCTGATGTATGGTTTTCATTTCACTGTATGTTCAATATGCAGTGGTCCTGTTCACACGTAATGTGTTTGTTTTTAGTTCTTTACACTTGAGATTTAGTCTCATTGCAAATAGATCCTTCTTGAATGATATCATCTCTGGAACTAAAGCATATGTATAAATGGGAATCAGGCTGCATGCGAGTTCCCCAATGCTCTGTGTGTTTGTTTTTTAAAGCTATATTTGTCTCTCTGTATTCTTTGAAATTGTTCCCCAATGCTCTGTGTGTTTGTTTTTTAAAGGGGTTCTTCTAGTTACTGAAACAAATGACTGTTTTTTTAAAGCTATATTTGTCTCTGTGTATTCTTGGAAATTGTTCCCTGATGCTCTGTGTGTTTGTTTTTTAAAGGGGTTCTTCTAGTTACTGAAACAAATGACTGTTTTTTTAAAGCTATATTTATCTCTGTGTATTCTTTGAAATTGTGTTTGAATGTTTTATGTTTTTGGTTTACAGCTTATTTAGAAATATGAATCCAGAGAAGTTAAGTAAGCTCCAAGCTCAGGTTCGGATTGGGGGAAAAGTAAGTAAACAAGTTTTATTTGAATATTCTGTGATCTGTGTATAAAGTGTTTGAGATTTCTGAATGTTTATCACTGTTAGTTATGTTTTTTTTGTATAAGCTATAAGTACAAAATATAAGATTTTTTTAACTTTGTTAACTCCTGTAAATGTTAACAGGTGTATGTCTGTTAAAATATTATCACCATTTGATTCTGTCAGCAAATTACATCACTAATTTAATGGTTGTATGTGACATAGTAAAAGTAATGTTAAAATAAGGTAGAAAACTGTTTTTTTCAACACATAGGGCTACAGAATAGGCTACAGACTGTTCACTCTTTGAAAAATACTTCTCACAATTGTTTTACATTTGTGTGTGTGTATAATAAACAGAAACATTAAAAGATAGATAAGTACGGTGTAGTTTGATTGATAGGGTGGTTTTGTCCAGTGCACTGTTCTAGAAAACAGTAAAAATGGTATATATTGGAGTAATCTTTGAGCATTAACGTAAGGGAACAGGAGGTTTCAGAATACATTTATAGAAGAGGTGTGGTTTTCTATTCAGGAAAACAAACTTGTAGTCACTGCAGAAATACAAAATTTTATTTTATTTGAGCATTAAAGCTGTGCAGTTACCGATATTTGGTAATTGATGAATCAGTAGCACCATTAATTGATTAAATTGTGATTAATTTAGAAGGACAATAGTCCTCAAAACACAGAAGCAAAGGCAAAAACGTTTGATGGCAGGTGCAGATAGGATAAGCAGTAGCTTTGCCATAGTAATGATGGGGGGTATGCAAGCTTGGTAACAATGGGAGTCAAATGTGATACTCTCGATTCCCATCCCCCTCCCAAAGTCACCAAACTGTACTTACCAGAGATTTTCCATAAGGATTTTGTCATCTGCACTATTATATTTACACTTCGTCATTTTTTAATACGACTCCTTATTGGACCTCTTATATTAAGGCCTAGTAACAAATGGTTCAAAAAACGAAGAATATTCTAGTAAATACATTTATTTATCAACTCTGGAATGGAATTTTATAATCTTAAATATATTTTTTAGGTATTTATCAACTTGAAATTACTAATATAGGTGAATTTTCAACTGGACAAATATGGTTACAGGTGTACAACTTGTGACCAACTGCACACTAGGAAAACCTCTGAAACATATAAGGCTAAAATATGGCAAAACACAACCTGTTATGTAGGCTTTACAATGAACAAACGTTATATCAGTATTTTGATTGTCGGAACCCTAATTTTGATTATTACTTTCATAATAATCAGAATCCCTAATTTTCATAGTTGATTATTTTCATGACAGTCAATTTAATTATGGTTTCAATTAATCAGTTAGTTTACATGATATTAGTCTATGTAATCGTTGCCTCAGAGATAATCAACTAAATTGTCCAGCTGTACTTAGCATTATATACTGTGAAGTAATATTATGTGCAGACTCTTAAAAGCTTTTTATCGTGCTCTAGAACAGATGACTTGTATATCAGGTTTTTGTAAATTTTTTATTTACACTTGAAATACAGATATTTATGGGGGTTTTTCTGCATCAAACTGTGAATCAAGTTGCAACAGTTATGTTTCATTATGAAGGGTTTCAAGATGGTGTGCTGAAAAAAAATCTATAGGTGACAGAATAGCACATCTACTCAAGCCTGATTTTAATGTTAGGAAGAAAAGTTAATATAATTTTAAAGAAATTTCATATAATTTCATATATTTTTTTAGAGACAAAACATATTTTTGTCATACTGACACGATAACCTTATTATAGATTGAGGTTAAAGGTGTGTTCCATACAGTTGTTAAAAAACATGCTATAATCAAAACTGAATATTGAAACTATAATTCTTTATTTTTGAACTCGTCATGTTTTTATAACAAAAGGGTGAATGATCCATATGTAAAAGGCAGTAAATATAATGTTTCTAATAAGGGTACTGCAAGGAGGAAGAAAAAAGTTATTCATCGTACAGCCACAACAGACGATAAAAAGTTACAGGGTTCACTGAAGAAGTTGGGTGTTAACAACATCCCTGGAATAGAAGAAGTAAGTGCTCTGAATATTATTATATATAAAGATTTTATTTTTTCATTATTTAAAACCACTAATTGGAGAGTGTGAGGATCATATTTTCTAAAATTTAAGAGCATTTAAATTTTTTATCATCAGAATGCTAAAACCTCATTAATGTAATATGAATTTCTGATACGGTACATTATCTCGTCACATAAATAGCTATTCACGTTCAGTGCTGTCCTCTATATGCAAACAAGCCTTGAGCTCTCATGTACCTCACGATCAATGTGGTTCAACTGCGTCTCACATGTGAATCACTATGCAACAACCCTCCATGTGACTCCCAGTATTCTACCAAACTATCACTTCTCATTTTTTGTTTGTGCTTTGTTCCCACATTTTTTATTTATTTTTTTGAAATTTGAGATACTTTCTATTTTTGTCTACTTGACTGAGGAATTGTCTGCTTTAATATATTTAGAAATTGAGTTCGAGAACCCACACATTTGGAATATGGTCTGCCAACTTTGGACAGATAAGCTGTTATACTGTTAAAGCTTTATGAATATTTTTGATATTTATATAATTATTTGTAGTTATTTGGTTTCAATGACATACGTTTAGTTAGATTTGTACCTACTTCTTGGAAGGTTAGGGTTTTTAATTAATGTTTGGTGATATTCTTTGTACTACAAAATTAGATTAGGCTTAAGGTGCATATTTGTAATTGTAAGTTTACCTGTCATTCATCTTACTTGTAAGTTGTAAATTAGGTTAAATATATTGTTTCCTCAACAAATATCATCTATTAAATTTTTTATTGTCAATATAAACTTGCTTAATTACAAAATGTAACATTTTCATTTTCAATTATATTTTATACTTTTTACAGTTAATTTCGTTTGTGACGAACTCTGGTTCCACCCAACCTTCTCCTACTTTGACTTGCCCTCCTCCTCCTCCTTACCTCCATGTTGGGGCAGTTGCCATTTTTGGCTCTTTCCCTACACATGTGGCTTCTTTGCTTTTGGAAAAATCTGGGGTGGGACACTGTCATGTACCAAGTTTGTTTCCCTTCCACTTCTAATTGAGAATTACAGGCAGCTCTACGGGTCAGTTTTTTTTTGGGGGGGGGGGTTACTCCTGTGACTTTCTCATTATGTGGGGTATCTATATTGCTACATTCATTTTTTTTTTTTCTGGTTGCTTGTTTGTCTCTTTGGCCATTGCATTCTTTATTCAGCACCTTCCCATCATTTACCTGACTTACATATAAGAGTTCCTTCATTAGTTATGTATTCTTGATGCAGATTGGAGTTCTGTGATCTCACTGTCCCACCTCAATCACTTCCTGATTCTCTCCCTTTTTACTGTATTGTCCTTTATCACACTCTGGTGAGCCATTTCTCCAGGACTGAGGATGCTCAAAGTTGATGTTTTATATTCTTATGCCCATGTTCTTATTTCTCAGCCCTTGTGGTGCTGCTTGGGTTTTAGATCTATATGTCTTTGTCTCTGGTTCCTCATTCACTTGCCTTGGCTGTTGATGCATTCAGACAGGATTGGGACCTATTTATACCTTTATTTCCTCATCCCATTCATCATCTTCCCTAGGTAATTTCATTCATCCTTGCTTTTCTGTGTCGGGTCTTTCTTATTGCTCCTTCTTGGCTGACACAGATCTGGTTTTCCCAGCTGCTTCAGCTGGATCGATTTTTCCTACCATTCACTTTGGTGGCTGTTGTGGCATGTTCTTCCTTTTCTTTGTTTTCTTTTCCTTCCATCTCCCACCTTTATTCCTGGTTATATCTGGATACCTTTTAGGTCCTGTACATGCTCTAGGTTGCTTCATTGCCTTCAAGGCTTCTTTCAGTTGGTTCTCTTTTCTGCTGTTTCATTCTCTGGCACCACTCCTCTGCTTGTGACTTTTTCCTTCGTCCTTTTTCCCCCATAATCAATTCCTGGTGTCTTCACTCTGATCAGGCACTTTCCCTTTTACCTGCATCTAACCCTCATCGTACGTTGGAGGTACTTCTTACGTTGAGCACTGGGACTACACCTCATACGTTTATCTCCCATTATCTGCTTCATGTAGCTGTTTCTTCCTTGTTGGGGTACCGTCTTCCACCTGTTGCCATTCTTCGTTCTTCAGTGAGACTGTGACTGGATAAGTTATCTTTTTGTATACATACCTCTTATTTTTTCAGGGGGCATGACCCTTTTTTCTTTACAGATCCCACTCTGTGGTGAATGGTGCCTGTCCAGGTATACTTAAACTAGTCAAATATAAACTTACATTGGCCACTAAACATACACTGTTGAGATGGGGTGTTCCACAAATAGCTCATATGCTTCATTCATATGCATGTTCCGGATCCTACTAACCCATGGACTTCATGGGTAAAGCAGAAGGGGATAGCTGTCCATCCCTGCCATTCTTTAGACTGAATAAATTGGGAGTGGTCTGCTTTTCAAAATAGGGTTTTCAGGGTCTTCAGTGTTGACATTCCTCCAGTGGGAGCTCAAGGCTTGTGGCATGTGAAAAAAATATTTGCATATAGACAGCAACACTGAACAAGAATAGATATTTATGTGAGGGGAGGTAAGTACCTATCAGAAATACATTTTCACTACAGGAAAATTATACCTTTGAAGTTGAGTAATTTTCATTCTTTACATTGTAAGTTGGTATTTTAATAGTTACAACCATAAAAAAAAGAAGACTAAGACTATATCCAGTTGTCATGTTATGATGTGTTAAGTGTTTTAATATACTGGTTTTGTTACTAATTACATAGGGAAGATAAGAAGCTGGTTGAAGTATGTAGAGGTTGGCTTGAAGGATTCAATCACAATCTGAATTATATATGAAGATGGTTTAATGCTAGGAATTTATTCTTTGTGAAAAGTCAACAGTATAAAAGTAGTTAAGTAATACAGAAGTTAGGGATTGCATGATTCTCTAGACTAATAAAAGTAAATTTTGGGGTTGTTTGGTATTATTGGACACACAAAATTGATTGCTAAATGGTCATTTTTAGACTTTTACAACTTTGAAGGATGGGATGCTCAGTAAGTACTATTCAATCTCAGATGGTCTGTTAATCATTGGTCAAATTAGGTGTATTTATTTATCTACATTATAATTCTTCGTAAACCTCATGTCAAGGAAAGGTTTTACAACTTTCTTGAAATCACCTAGATTAGGAAATTTGTTTCATTTGTGAAAAATAACATATCACATTTCATCTCTTTCTGCATGAAAAGAATAATATATGATTCATTTATAAGAATAATTTGGATGGGAATAATCTTAATAGTATCATGAAGGAAATTGATCTTGCTGTAATGGTTGATCAGTCTCAAGTCATTCAAGCAGCGTGTTGTTGCTAGTGGTACGGAAAATACGATTTTAGAGAAATATTGAATACAGATCTAAAGAGGTTATAATTTCATTTCATAGGCCACATTTGAAGTATTGTGTTCAGTCTTGGTCTCCTTACCTAAGGAGGAACATTGACTTGTTGGAAAGGGTTCAGAGGAGCGCTACTAGAATTGGTGCCAGGGATGGAGGGGGTTGTCATACGAAGAGAGGTTGAAATCTCTCAAATTGTTTTCTCTTTAAAAAAGAAGAGTTGGGTGTGTTTAAGATTGTAAATAGAATTGATAGTGTCGATGCATCATCTTTTATCTGATACTAGAACTAGAGAACACAAATATAAATTCTGTCAGGGTAGGAGTTTAAGACAGTTTTATTTTTTTATGACACACAGCAATCAAGAAGATGACAATGACCAATTCTGTAAACAAACTACTTTCTAATGTTTTCTATTTTTGTTTTGTTTTAACAGCAAGCATGATATCTTGGGGGGGGGGGGTCTAATGTTTCCAAATTAGAGTGAGGGATGTTAACAAATTATGTGAATATTGGGCCTTGCAAAATAAAATATTTTCTTATCTCTCTCTCTCTTTCACTCTATCAATACTTGAAAGAAACTTTTCAACAATTAAATTGGTTTGTTATAATCAACTTGTTTTGAAGAAAATATTGACACGCGGGGGTTATCCTAAACTAATAAAAAATACTTGTGCAGTTTTAGGAACTGCTCAGAGAATTACTTGTGTATATATATATAAAAGCCTGAGATTTGTTTACAAGCTAATATTTAGGTGTGAGAAAAGAAATGTAGTAAAGTTTTGTTTGAATCTTTCAAGTTTTAGGATTATTGTTTTTTAGCATACAGAAGAAAAAAATTGAAACTTTTGTAGTTTGCAGCTTGTTCCGTAGTGAAACAAGTTTGTATAGCTTCCAAAAATAAAATAAACGCAAGTTAGGAGACAGGTAATCTGTTAACCCGAAACTTATCTTGGTTATATTGGGGTTTCCTATTTGAAACAGATAAAATATAAATGGTGTTTTGTTTTTATGAATCCACATCTCTTGTCCAAGAAGTAAAAGGGTTTTATTTCTAGGTTAACATGTTTAAGAATGATGGCACAGTAATTCACTTCAACAACCCTAAAGTACAAGCCTCTTTGACAGCCAACACGTTTGCCATTAATGGACATTCTGAAACAAAACGTAGGTTCTTTAAGTGAATAAAATTAGTTGTTCAGAAAGTTTTATTGTGTTTCTAGTTGTCATAAAAAAAAGTTTGATTCTATATATATGCATTTGTTTTTTAGGTTTATAAGTTATAATTAGAATATTTTTATTTTAGTTTATAAATTCTGTTGATAAAGATAAGGATAGTTATTTAAACCTGAATTATCAGTAATTACCTTTTGATAATTAGGTAGGCTACTAAGAGATCCTTCAGGTGTTCCGTTATTAGTCATTGTCATGGTTAGTAGCCTATAGAGTTACTGGAGTCAATTTACTTACAAGTTATAATTTTAACTAAATACTAATTTGATTCTATTCAACATTTTGGTTACTTATCTGCTACCATATTCAGGAAAGTTCTGATAAGGACTGTACATGGTGGCATGGGCTGGGTTTTGATCCAGGGTTTTTTTAGAAAGGCTTGGTGCTATCTACTCATGAGGACTTGAACAATTTATATGAATGGTTTAAAGTATCCAGGTGTTACTGATTTCTGTGTTATGTTGTCTTGAGTGTGTTGTCAATTAGGTAGATTTAGAAGGATTCTTTGATCTTTCTTTTTCTTGTTTTTGGTTCACATCCCATTATTGTAGTGTTATTTCATTTCATTATTTTTTTCATTAGTTTTTCTATTTTTTATTATATTCCTGAATTCTACTTTTGTTGGTCTTTTTTAAATTTTTTATCCCCTGTATATTGTAGTTCATGTTCGTAAGGGATGTTGTAGATGGTGTTTTTGTTTTACATATTTTGGTGTGATTTCTGAATACTGCTCTGACTTTACACTGTTTACATATCAATTGTTGTTTTCAGTAGTGTTTTTACCGGGTACCCACCCGTCACGAATGTTACCTGGTTCTAAATTTACTACCCGGTTCTTGAAAAAAAAGTTTATGCAAAGTAATGTAAACAGAGCTGCAAACAAATTATTATTATTTTTAAGAGAAAACAGTAAGCAAAGATAAGAAACAAGAAAAAAAAGTCACAACACAGAGAGAGAGGATGAAAGTGGAAGCAATCATAGCGATAGAGACTCATATTAAAATCAAGTGGTGGGACAGCAACATTGATTAGTTAGTAATTGATCTGTAAGTTTAACAATGTACAAAAATCATTAAGTACTTTATAAATCAATTTGTTTAAATTTCTACATGCAAAGTTGGCAAACAGGATTTCAAGGGAGCTAAGAAAGGAAATATGGGAAACGGCTCGGAAAATAATGCAGTTAGGGACAAGGATGGGCTTGGGTTTAAGTTAAGCAACCGGTTCGAAGCACTTGCTAGTGATGAGGGGGAGCAGGTAAGAGAAACCGATGGGATCACAAGGGATGATAGTGTAAAGGATAGGGAAGTTACAGTTGTAGGTGACTCTCTAGTTATGCATGTAGATAGAGTAGCATGTGGAGTAAATAGGAGCAAAAAATACACTTGTACTATCGAGGAGCAGGGATACAGTATATAACTTATACTATCGAGGAACAAGGGAACAGTATATAACTTATACTATCGAGGAACAAGG